ATGACAACCTATATTTGCCTTATACAATTGCCTCTTATAATGAATCCTTGCATGTGGAATCACGTGGTACTAAGCGTAAATTAAATAAGGAAAATTCGGCGACATTATGGTATAAGCGCTTGGGTCATATCTCAAAAGGTAGAGTTGAGCGTCTTGTGTCTGATGGTATTTTGGATTCCCTTGATTTTTCAGACTTCGACGTATGTGTTGAATGTATCAAGGGAAAGCAGACCAAAGTTAAGAGATTAGGTGCCAAAAGATCTACAGACATCTTAGAATTGATACATACGGATATTTGTAGGTCATTCCCTACGGCATCTTGGAATGGTCAATAATATTTTATATCATTCATAGACGATTACTCATGTTATGGGTACCTATATCTCATTCATGAGAAATCTGAGTCTCTGGACATGTTCAAAGCCTATAAAGCTGAAGTTGAGAATCAACTCAACAGAAGAATTAAAATCGTTAGATTTGATCGTGGTGGTGAGTACTACGGCAGATATGATAGTTCAGGTGAACAACGTCTAGGACCATTTGCTAGATACCTAGAGGAATGCGGTATCGTCCCACAGTACACATGTCGGGTTCACCTATATGAATGGTGTAGCTGAAAGACGAAACAGGACTCTTAAGGATATGGTAAGAAGTATGATTGCTTATTCTTCTTTACCAGAGTCACTCTGGGGAGAAGCACTTAAGACAGCAGCTTACATTCTGAATAGAGTACCAAGTAAAGTAGTTGTTAAAATACCTTATGAGCTTTGGACTGGTCGAAAGCCCAGTTTAAAGTATTTATATATTTGGGGATGTCCAGCTGAGGCAAGGCCTTATAGGCTAAATAAAAAAAAATTAGACTCCAAAACAGTTAGCAGCTACTTTATTGAGTACTCTGAACGCTCTAGGGGCTATAAGTTTTATGATCCCGCACTAGGAATATTTTTGAGACAGGAACAACAACATTCTTTGAGGATGTTGAGTTTGGGGGAGAAATAAGGTCAGAGACATTGCTTTTGAGGAGGAATTGGCCTCAGATCCAATCCATACAGTTACTTTTGACAATATTCAAGTTCCTATACCGGTTGTTGCTCAAGAAGTAAATCCGGAACCTCAAGATGACAATGTTAAACAACTCCTTGTTCCAGAAGAACAAACTCAACAACCTCAAGAACCAGTGCCATTAAGGAGATCCACGAGAGAAAGGAGAAATGCTATTTCGGATAATTATATTGTATTTCTCCAAGAACATGAGGAAAGTAATGGAATATTGAAAGATGATCCAATCAACTTCCTTCAGGCCATGAAAAGTTCTAACTCTCAACAGTGGATTGATGCCATGAATGAAAAGTATAAGTCTATGCAAGACAATAAGGTTTAGGAACTTGTCTCATTGCCAGAAGGTGCAAAACTAATTGGTTGTAAATGGATATTTAAAACTAAACGGGATGCAAATGGTAATGTGGAGAGGTATAAGGCACGTCTTGTAGCTAAAGGCTTTACTCAAAAGGAATGCATTGATTATTCAGAGACTTTCTCTCCGGTTTCATCGAAAGACTCTTTCAGAACAATCATGGCACTTGTTGCTCATTATGATCTTGAGTTACATCAGATGGATGTTAAGACTATATTTCTCAATGGCGACATTGATGAGATGATTTATATGGTGCAACCAGAGAACTTTGTGTCCGGAGACCCGAAGAATATGGTTTGCAAATTAAGGAAATCCATCTATGGACTCAAGCAAGCTCCTCGTCAATGGTATCATAAGTTTCAACAAATAGTTATCTCGTTCGGTTTTGAGATGAACATTGTTGATGACTGTGTATATCACAAGTTCAGTGGGAGTAAGTATATTTTTCTGGTTCTGTATGTCGATGACATCTTGCTTGCCACTAATGATATAGGCATGTTGCACGAAACCAAGAGATTTCTATCAAAGAATTTTGAGATGAAAGATCTTGGGGACGCATCTTTTATATTAGGAATCCAGATACATCGAGATCGCTCTCGAGGTATACTTGGATTATCACAAAAGAGCTATATCAATAAAGTACTCAAAAGATTTGGCATGCAAGATTGCAGACCAGGAGACACCCCTGTGGCTAAAGGAGACAAGTTTAGTCTCAATTAGTGCCCTAAAGGCAACCTTAAAATTCAGGAAATGCAGAAGATTCCTTATGCTTCGGCTGTAGGAAGTCTAATGTATGCTCAGGTATGTACGCGTCCGGATATTGCGTACATTATTAGGATGTTAGGAAGATACTTAAGCAACCCTGGTATGGATCATTGGATAGCAGTCAAAAGGGTTATGAGGTATCTTCAGAAAGCAAAAGATTATATGCTCACATACAGAAAATCAAAACAGCTGGAGGTCATTGGGTACTCTGATTCTGATTTTGCTGGATGCCAAGATAACAAAAAGTCTACATCAGGCTACATTTATATATTAGCAGGAGGAGCTATATAATGAAAAAGTGTTAAACAAATACTTGTAGCTTCCTCTACTATGGCAGCAGAATTTGTAGCTTGCTATGAGGCATCCAATCAGGGAATATGGCTGTGAAATTTTATCACGAGACTGCGCATTTTGGAAAATATGAAAAGACCACTAAGGTTATATTGTGATAATAAATCAACAGTAATGTATTCCAATAACAACAGGAGCTCAACTAAATCAAAACATATTAACATTAAGTTCCTGGTTGTGAAAAAAAGGGTACAAAGTGGACAGATATCCATAGAGCACATTGGGACAAACTCCATGATAGCAGATCCTCTTACTAAAGGATTGCCACCCAAGGTCTTTCATGAGCACACCGCTCATATAGGTGTAGTGATATTCGAGGATATCATGATTTAGTGGGAGTTTATAATTGTGGTGCTTTATGTTAGGTTGTATTGTCTGATCAGAATAAAGTTTTTCAGTTCAAACACTCTGTTACATTATGTTTAGTTTTGACCTCAATATTGTAGGCGTATAAAATTGCTTATAGATCCCTTAGCACAGCTCAGCACAAACCGACGAACCAACGAGGCGACGAGGTTAACGAATCGCACGCAAGCAAAGGAATACATCCATTCGCGTGTGGAATCAAGCCAAGGGTTCGCGACGAATCACGATCGAATCAAGATCAGTTTCAGACTCGAACTCAGAAGTGGATTTACTGCCAAATCAGGAATCAGATTTACTGCCAAATCAGGTCAACGATTCAAATCCGGATAAATCAACCACAGAACCGGATTACGGACTGAACCGAAAACGGAAAACCACGCCTAAGGGGGGCTCGGCCCAGTGCCGGCCACCTATAGGTGGCCGACCCAGTTCTGTGCGCGGGCACAGTGAAGAGAGGCTATAAATAGGAGAGGTGGTTCATTTGTTCGAAGGTTGGAACTTGGAGAGCCGAAACTCTGCCGAATTGAAAATTGAGCTTGTAGTTTTGAAGACTTAAGGACTTGAACATTCAGATCTGGTTCTCGGCGAGCATCCACGTCACAAATGGCAGGAGTTCGAGAGAGAGAGAGAGAGAGAGAGAGAGCAGATCTGAGATCTACACGAGATCATACTCCGGATCAAAGCTTGGCCAGTGAAGAGAGGCTATAAATAGGAGAGGTGGTTCATTTGTTCGAAGGTTGGAACTTGGAGAGCCGAAACACTGCCGAATTGAAAATTGAGCTTAGAGTTTTGAAGACTTAAGGACTTGAACATTCAGATCTGGTTCTCGGCGAGCATCCACGTCACAAAAGGCAGGAGTTCGAGAGAGAGAGAGAGCAGATCTGAGATCTACACGAGATCATACTCCGGATCAAAGCTTGGCCTTTGATCCCGAGAACTAAGGGCGATTATTTTCTTGGTGAATTAATCCCCCTCGGCTATTATTTCCTTCGCAAAATAATACCCATCAAATCGTGTAGATCCGACCGGATCTAGATCGCACGATGGTCCACGGATTAACCCCGGCGTTGGCAAAGAACCCACACAAGCGAGCGACCGCAAAACAGGAGCTCGTGATTCGTTCGAAAGGAAAGTTGTAATCTTTTTCTTTTTCTTTGATTTCGTTGTAACCGGATCTAAAAAAAGACCGGATCTTTTGTAACCAAAAAGCAATTACTTGAGATAACAATGAATTCAATGAAGGCAATTTTCACCGCGAACAATCTGGCGTTTCGTTGTAACCGGATCTAAAAAAAGACCGGATCTTTTGTAACCAAAAAGCAATTACTTGAGATAACAATGAATTCAATGAAGGCAATTTTTACCACGAACAATCTGGCGACCACAGTGGGAGCCACATATCTCGCTGCCGAGATCGTCACGTCACAGCCGCGGATCTCAATCCCGGTCGAGGAGGAGGTCGAGTATGACCTTTTCAGTGATAGCAATTTGAGCTCATAAGGTTATGCACAATTTAAGGAGTCATATGGTGCCCAAGTAGGAGATTGTTGGATTTAAATATAATTAAATTTATTTGTGGGCACATATGATTAATCTGTGTGTATTGCTATCCTTCAGAATAACCCACTAAAGTGATCAATCAATTTTGGTTAATAGGTATTTAAATATAATCATGGGGTTATATGTGCAGATACAAGGTTGTAATTGTAATTTGATGAGGGGCCAAATTACAAATATACATCACCTATAAATAAGGGGTTATGGTCCCTAACATAGGGTTACATTCTCTAATTCTCTTCACCCCTATCTAGAGAGAAATTTGGTTAGAGAAACCCTAAGGTTAGAAGATCATCAAAACCCTAATCAGGTTTTCTTCAATGGATTCAGGTATATTCTTCCGCACCTTTTGATTCTTATTAATCTCTATGAATTAATCATGGCTTTAAGGTTTATATCTCAAGTTTTTATTAGATCTAACATGGATCGCGTAGCTTCAACTGTCACCAATACTAGCAAATATAACCACTATACAGTCAGCATTGTTGAAAGGCTAATTAGCTTGAGATACCTATAGAAAGAGAGAGTGTGTGTGTGTGTGTGTGAGATGGGTCGTTGGATAAAACCGGAGGTGTATCCGTTGATGGCTGCCATGGCCTTCGTGTCAGGTCTCTGTGCTTTCCAGCTCACTCACAATGTTCTCATGAATCCTGATGTCAGGTACAAAGCTATCGAGTTTATGTAAATGAACATAGACAATAGTATGTTTATTTTGAGACCTGATCCAATGTAGAAAGTCAGTTTTATTTTCACATAAAACGTCTAACTATGACTTATTTTTGGATAATTAGTCTTGGTTACGGAATTTTACAGGATCAACAAAGCTCATCGAACGATGGCAGTGCTGGAGAATGCTGAAAAAGGGGAGAAGTACAGCCAGCACAGCTTTCGCAAATTTCTCAGTCACCACCGTCCCGAAGTCATGCCTGCACTCAACCGGCTCTTTTCGGACACTAACAACAACTGAACGTATCAGATAAACGTATACTTTCTAGTTATATTGGAAGATATGTCACGTACTTTATAATATTATGTGTTTCTCTTTGTAATTTGATGTGTGATTTGACATGTTTTACCACCTCTTTTGTTATTTATGTATCAAGAAGTTTGATAGAAGTAAACAATGTGAGAATGAAATTGATCTGTAGTGAAAGATGCTAGAATTTTTTCCTTTCTTTTAGATAAACATAAGTAAACAATGTGAGAAAGAAATTGATCTCTAGTGATGCTAGATTGTTTTTTCCTTTTCTTTAGATAAACATCTGAGATTAAACCACTGCACGGGGCTGGTAAAAGTTTCTGACATCAATATCAGCCAACAATAGAACCAAGATCCTAAATCACCTTAGTCATCCTATACTAGATAGAGAGCATAGTTAAGTAGGTTAGGAAAAACTCAGTGAAATTTTTACTCAAAAAAGAAAAGGTCATTGAATTTCATAATGTTAATGAAAAGTAAAGGGATGTTTCGTCAGTGGATTCATCCTAACAAGAGAGATAAGAATAAAAATAAAAATAAAAATTATTTTCACACCTTAAAATTTTGAATCTATGTATTCTTCTCAAAGTTGAAAAAAACCGTACTTTTTTTAAGTTTTTTCATCCATTTGCTCATGTGAAATTGAGTACAAATGCGGTTGCGACATCTTTGGGGACGTCCTAAGATAATGACCATGGCAGCGGCAACAAATGTCATGATGGATCAACAGCAATGAGAGGTAGGATTATTTTCACACCTTAAAATTTTGAATCTATGTATTCTTCTCAAAGTTGAAAAAAACCGTACTTTTTTTAAGTTTTTTCATCCATTTGCTCATGTGAAATTGAGTACAAATGCGGTTGCGACATCTTTGGGGACGTCCTAAGATAATGACCATGGCAGCGGCAACAAATGTCATGATGGATCAACAGCAATGAGAGGTAGGTCAGGTCAAGTCGCATAACTGTGTCCGGATTTTCTACAATCGTGGTTGTAGAGAATGCCTATAATTAATTATGTGGCCTTACACTATTAGTTCATTTTTAGTAAGTCCTACAGTTATAAAAGAATTTTCATATTATTAGCTCATTTTAGTAAGTCCTACAATTGCAAAAGTATTTTCATATTATTTTGGGAAATAATATCATTCATGAAGTCCACTAAGTAAGAATATTTAATTGGTGAATTACAGAGATGCCCAAGGAGAGTGCTGCTTAGGAGGACCAAAAAATGAAACAACTCCATGGGATAGTTGGCATGGCAAGTACAACTCTAATTTATTAATTAGCTATAAAATATGACTCATCAATGAGTTGGAAGATGATATTTGTACAACACCGGAACTTTAGGAACTATGTATATTCGGGTTAAAAGATTTGCAAAGATTCAAGACAACGAAATAGTCATTTTCTTATATTAATCACTTAAGAAAATAAATATTATAGTATCTTTAATTATAATTATTCTATTTCCAAGAAGTTGTGTCGAAAGAGGTTAGACGTCAGCACCATTGACCATATGAATAAAATAGCACGATTCTTTATGTAGTAAAATGAGATTGAACTAGTCCGTCTTGAGGGATGAAGCATCTTTAAAAGAAGAATGAACTCAAAACGGAGGGTTTTCCTTCTAGAACAAGTGAGAAGAATGCAAATATAACCAAAGATTGATTGTTATGTGGCTTTGCCAACGTAAGATCTAAAAATTAGGTGTTAAGGGTTAAATATAAAGTGCATTTGCAAAGCAAAAGACATCTCCACATAGTTAGGACCTCGAGCAATTGGAGAACAAGAGAGGACGACTAGATAGGGGAGATTCACAGCAGGAGAACTCAATCTTCATCTCAGGCGAGGGTTCTCTCAACTTCTTCCTTGTTTTGAGGAATTATACTTATTATCTCGCAATGCCATTTTCAATTGAATTCATAGAAACCATAGAAATTTTGTGCTAAATCTATTAGGGTTTCTTTATTGATGTTTTATCCTCGTTTACAAGTTTGTTATAAAAACCATAGTTCTCATAGTTTTCCCAATAGAAACATGGTAGAAACTGTAGGCGTCAAAAATTGCCTATGGGTTCCCACACGCAGCTCAAGACAAAGAGAACATGATGAACGACATCATCCGAGTCAAAGAAGTTTATCTGACAACGATGAAACGCATGAAGCGAATCGGTAAAAGCGCACAAGTCAACAAATTGAGGAAACACGCGTAAAGCGGGAAGCAAGCGAACCGAAGGAAATACAAATAGCCAAAAGAGTCAAAAAGACA